ACCTTATTTTTAATTTTACAAAGAAAACATTCCAATTTACGCTACATTAAGTTTTACAAATTATTTTATCGAATGAACTTTTATTAAGTTCAATTTATTATTAATTAATAATAGAAATTAGAATAAACTAAAACATATTAATTAGTACTGCAGTCTTATGTCTGTTTGGGATTTTTCATTGGAGGAAATACTATAATAATATTTATTTATTATTTATAAACTATTTGTCGATCGGGTCTAAATGGTTCTTTGATAAATTAAAAATAATGTCTCTAATAAAAAGGAATCTATAAAATGTTAAAAAGATTCTTTTATTTCGGAAAAGAAATATAATTAGAAGAAAAATAGTTTTGGTTTTTTACATAATATTGTAAATAAAAGTCGTGGTAATGTGAAACGGACCCACAACGCTATACAACATTAACAATGCACAGTTATGTTCCCGCAGCGCCAGTCAATACCGCTAACGAAGCTGGCACCGCCAGATATGCCTATTGTTCGCACTCAACTGGCATCCTGTGCTTCAAACTGTACATACTCAAATAGAGATAGTCAAGTTAACTTGAATTGAAAATAATGAGGAAGCAATACATACTTAGATGGTCATACTTATAATGGTTAGTTGTGAATCTAGTATGCGTGAGTGCCGACAATGAAAACTTAAGTTAAAGTCTAGAACATGGTTAAGTATACGTAGATTTTAAGATGATTCTTTTTATAATACTAAGCGAAGAGACCAATAAGTCGTGCGCCTGCTGGTAAGCGACACGATTATATGTAACAGTTGCAGAGCCACGCAGAGCTTTAAATCGCAAATACCTTAGGGACACTGCCACTGCGCCCGTCACCCTGAAACTTAAGTTGACAAGTCCCATGTACCTGTAATTTCAACACTCAAAACCGGAACGCAGCAGCAATACTCTCATTATTGTTTTGCGGCAGAAATAGGTTAGGTCGCAGTTCTTCCCTGGACGAACTCCTTCACAAGAAGCTCTATTGCTACTAAAACCTTACTACGGTATGATCTCTTTTTATTTTCCTGCCTTCTATGGTCACAGTTTGATTGGCCAATGGCAGACGACAGCTTTAAGAACAGTTGTAAGCAGAGATACTGAATTGAGATGATTTAAATCGGGTTAACACCCATTAACGCCCGAAATCGAGGGCAAAAACTGTTTACTACAAAATATTTGTTGTAAATCGAGTTTTGTTCAAATTTGAATGACAAAATATTTACTGCTTTCTGATCTAAACAACTCAATGGCAAATTTTGAACATCTGGCGGAATCTTATTGAAGAAACGTGTCCATGTCCCTAAAATGATTTTGTGCCTTGTGAAGACGACTGTCGAGAATAGTTAGTTTATTTTTATTCCTCGTGTTAATGTTACGTCTATCACTATTTTTAATACAAAGATTACTATTCTGCTTAACATAAATAACATTTTCGTAAATTAATATATTATTATAATATTTTTAGCAAAAAGAGCCCGAAAACATTTTGTTTAACCCTCTCCCAACATCCTATACTATTATTGTTATGTTATAACGTAATGATATCGAACTACGACAGGACATAATTACTGTTATAACGTCATCAGTCGAGAAAAGCTTGTGGAGCTTAAATTTTACCATCGTTGTTTTGCGTGTGTATAATTATGGCGACATAGTTCAAAGTATGAAGCATGTTTTTTTTGTGGATAATCTACATATTATCATTCCTCATTATACGTTCTACTACTTGGTATAGGACTCTTCCAAGACGACGGTTTACGTCCTAGTCCTTACCTATTTATGCCTCCAAACAGTAATATTACATTTCGGTTTTAAAGACTAAGGTTGCAGGTAAAATTACAGGCACACGGAACTTGCCAATTTATGTCTGAGGCTGAAAGCTTTGAGCGACACTGCAACTGCTATGGATAGACATGTCACTTACCAGCAGTCACACGACTTGTTTGTCCCGTTACTTTGCTTATTACATAAAAAAAATTAGTACCGCTGGCATAAGAGAAAACCTCGTGGTTGAAGAATCTGAGAGACTGGTTCCACCTTAGCACACGTTTCCTCTTTAGTGCACTGCTTTAAAAATGAGAATAGTCAAGATGGTCGCCAACCTTCGTAGAAAAGTGGCACTACCGTTTGAACTGTCCAATTATACAAAGATTTTTACAATTATTGTAACGAACCTCCTTTTTAACTGCTGACTGGCAGTCATGCGCGTCAATATGCTAGTGACACTTGTCCGTTACGTTGTTAGTTTGTCTGTATCATCGAGTATATAAAAAATAATATAACCAGAAATAGCTTCATCCTCTAAGAGAAATAGAGACGAAATGTCATTTAATTTGTTTGAAAACTATTCTGCCAAATCATTACTGCGCCCTGATTGGCCAGTTTAACTTGATATGAAAATTAAAAAATTACATATTTGATATTTAATTACCGATGAAATGTGATTCCGTTTGTCTTGTAATTAGATGTTTTGCTGATTTTAGACCACCGAATGGACCAGTCCCCCATTGTTAAAGATATTATCTTTATTATAATAAATACAGAATATTTTTGGTTTATATGGAGACGTACACACAGGTCAGTTGTTGGCGCTGTACGAGTACTATTTCAGATTTCTAATTTGTGATTTCAGTGCAAACGAGAGTTGATATTTAAAAGTGATATAATCCCCATTTTTCTGATGAGTTGCCAGGGATGGATGACCCTTATTTCGTCTCTATTTGTGGTTACATACTCGATGGTCTATTCTGCAGTACAGAGACGTGGTGCTACAGTGCGACTACTACAACTTTACCGTAACAGTCCCCACTAGCCACCGCGTAAATTTCTTCGCAATTTTACGTGGCAAATTATACGCTTATTAAGCGCTCCTAGCGGTCACAAGAATGAACAGCATTTTGTGTACAAACATGTTACGCAGTCGGTAGCGACAACTGTCACTGTAATCTCATAGGTAGCCCAGAGAGTATTAGATAGGAAACTGGCGGGAATTACACTCAAAAACCGCATAACAAATACGTGGCTCAGGCAGGAAAGCAGAGTCGCAGATGTCACCAAACGCGTAACGAAACTTAAGTGGCGTTGGGCGGGTCACGTTTGTGACGGTGTGACCTCCTTCCATCGTCATCCCATCTTTTTATTGCCTTTCTCCGGTTTCTGGCTACTCGTATTTAAATTCTGAATTGTTTTATAGCTCTTTTGCCTCGCATTCATTTAGTTTCGTTCCACTGTCACTCCCTGCTCAATCGCGACAGCGTACGGAGGTGGTTAAAATTCAATCGTCTAATTTTGATTCCTTTACTCTAAGTTTATAATCATTAGTAATCTAAATAATGTGCCAATTTTAATAAGTTTATAACTACTACAGCCTTATCATGTACCTACGAATACGTATGTGTAGTTAAGTGTAATTCGGTCTTTTTGGGGTAAGTGTCTACATAATATCTAAATATTGATCAGGTTAGGGAGTGTTTTGTAATAATATACCTGTTTTCTATGTATACCTTTTATTGTTACAGCCTTCTTTGTTACCTTTTCTTCTCTTTAACCGACTTTAAATAAATTTGTGGACCTGAAGTTTTCTGTTTTACTGCCGTGAACCTGGTCACGGCTTGTTAGGGTTACAACCCTTTCACTTTGTTCGAAAGCATGGCTCCTGGTGTGAAACGGTCCTCGAATGGCGACCTTGGGTGAAAAACACCCCAGAGGGAGATCGCAGATGCGTTGGAAGGATGACATAAAGAAAATGACGGCTTTGAATTGGATACAGGTGGCATAGAACCGAGAAAACTGGCAGAAACTGAAGGAGGCCTACGCTGACGTGGTTGAGAATGACTAGAGAGAGATAGAATCTTATAGTAGAGGCATGGAATATCTCCATAGCATCTAGAGTACCAGAATATTATTTAATCTGAAAAGAGTCTCTTGTATCTCTTCGTATAAGGAAAATTATAAAATACGAGCAATACAATTGAACAGTTGTACAAAACATTAAAACTGGATTTTTTTCACAACATTTAGAACTTTGATTGGTTTTTGTCGAACGCAAACTTTTATAAGTGGAAATGAGTGAGATATGGAGAAAAGTCGATCTTGTTAAATATCCCAACAACATTCAGGAGTCCTAAAAAATCAAATCAAAAGTACCAAGAACAAATAGGCGAGTATAATAAGTTGAACGCTAATGGAGAAGGTTAAAGAAGTAAGTCAAGAACGTAGCAGACATAGGTCCACTCACTAAATATGACATCTCATTCAACACTATTACAGTCAAAGTCACCCTAAATACTCACACTTTAATAGCAATATCCTCCATGTGAAAGGAAGTACTACCACCTAACTTATTTTTGCCGCCAAGCAGTAATGAGCATTACTGCGTTCCGGTTTTGAAAGGTAAGGGTGCTGGTGAAATTGTAGGCACATGGGACTTGTCAACTTATGTCTCAGGGTGACTGTTGCAGTGGCAGTGCTCGTCAGATCTTTGCGATTTAAAGTTCTGAGTGTCACTGCAACGGACAGACATGTTGCTAAGGCGCATCCCGTCTCTCAGTATCACAAAAAACTTATTTCTGCCAACAAATAGTATTGCGTTACTTCGTTCTGGTTTTGAAGGGTACCTAAATAGAGCGATTACATCAGCGATGCAAACGCGCGACTGCATCGATACAAACGCGCGATTGTATCGATGCAGTCGCGCACTTGCATCGCGTTTGCGTCGCTGCTTAATATCGCTCGTGTGTGTAAAAAGTTGCTGCAAAAAGTTGCCGGGTATAACCGCTAATAAATGTGCTATTGAAACTACAGGTTGTAAACGCGTGTAATTTATCAACTCTCACTTAACGAGAATGCGGCGTGAGACAGGGGGGACTATCGTCTCCAAAGCTTTTTAACCTGTATGTTAATGATCTGATAGTCGAGCTCAGTAGCATGCGTGTCGGCTGTTGTGTGGGGGATGTTTGTGTGAACAACATCAGCTATGCAGACGACATGGTGCTGCTGGGCCCGACTGCGAAGTCTATTAGGGAGATGTTGGCAGTCTGTGAGGTATATGCCGCATCACACGGACTAATTTATAATGTTAAAAAAAGCGAGTTCATGGTCTTCAAGGCCGCCGGTAGGTGTCCAGAGTCATTTCCAGCTATTTCGCTAAATGGCATGAGTGTAAAACAGGTGTCTCATTTTAAATATCTTGGACATATACTTGCCGACGACCTTAAAGATGATGACGACGTCGAGAGGGAACGCAGGGCTTTGGCGGTCCGCGGAAATATGCTGGCCCGCAGCCCGCGCCTGTACTGAGGCATCTCGTACGGACAATGATTCCGCACGAGATGCCTCGTAAGTACATGACATTTTAGTTTCTAAGTAATTTATAATTATAATTTCATACTAACAATAGTCTATAAGTTTGTTTCTTTATTTTTTTACTAACACCAATGGATCTTGTTATCTGAGAAAATAAATAATTTGAATTTGAATTTGAATTTGAAAATCTGGCATTTTAAAATTTAAACTAACTTTTAGAAACTTTAATGAAGTTTTCCCGTAAATTGAGTTTTTCATCTAGTTACAGTATTAATTTCAACGTGCAATAAATTATTTCAGTATGATAACCAGGCGAAAATAACCAATCCACATTTCATTTACGCATAATGGCAACATTAGAATACGACCCTCGGATTAGGGCAATCCTATAGATATACAAGGGGACGGAATGTATCTTGGAGTGTAAATAATGCCTACAGTAAGGGCGTATATCCCTTAATCCGATTATGGCCAATTCTACGTTGAAATTCCTACAAATCGCATATGAATAGAAAAACCTCTTGTATCGAGTTGGCCAAAAAGTCCCTGCAGTATCGAATGTAAGAATGAAAAAAATTTTTAAAATAAATATGTAAGGATCCATTTTTTCTTTCACACCACTTGGGCCCAAAGATGTACCTCAAGTACCATCATATATTTTTGTATAAAAAATTACGGCGAATTCATGACAAAATAAAATGGAATTTTCGCAAAATTATCATTCGGACATAAAAAATACTGGCAACACAATAATTATATATGGCAATTTCTACACTTTAAATGATTGGTATCCAGCTATCGCGATTGTTTAAAAAATAAAATCATCTTTTGCAGGTCTGCAAAAAATATCCACGATATAGTATAAATAGATAGGATTTACGAATCTATTATTATACTACTATACTATACTTTTTCCATCCTAGTAAATTACACGGTCGACATGTCAACGTCATAGACTTTTTTTATTCCGTTTCAGTTCTGTGATTTTTGGATTCGCGTCGCGTCTCTGAAATATTACAATGTGTGTTTTTGACATATTCATCACTGACTTTTGGCCATTCTTTACGGACATTCTCTCGATCGAACCCGATTATTAGCTACAGTGACAGCTGTCAGATCATGATATTGTACGTTTCGTCAACGCAGTATCATTTTTTCATATACTTGTAAAATTACATTGTTCGGCAATTGCTATTAAAATTAAAAAGATTTCAGTTAATGGATTCTTTTCCATATCATTTTAGAACTTTTTTGACATAATCAAATTTTGTCTCGGTACATAATGGGGTCCAAAAATTAAGGGATCTTTTTAATCAATTACGTATTGACCGTGTTGATTTGTAAATCTTTTCCTATCTTTCCAGTGAATTTACAATTTCCCTTTCATAAAAAAAACATGTCTTTATCAAAGTCTTGTCCTTTCAAAGAACTTTGTAAAGACAGAAACAATCTGAATCTATGTCGGGTGAATACGGTGACACGTCCCAACCTAACTTATTCCCTAAACGCTACAACTTGGGCCTTTTCAAGGCGAGAGTGAATGGAAATTATTTAGGGGGCAAGTTTTATACCATCGTCACCCTCTTCGTCATTTTCCATTAGATGAGACTGAGGTCAAATGAACAGTTTTTTTTTTAGAAAAACAAAACTGCAAAAACGTTTGTTAGGTTTTGACGTGTTTAGACAAGTGTGGTATTTGGAAACAAGGCACCTTTACGTACCTACCACCAGTGCCTCTACCATGATATTACGGTGACAATTATCGCTAGCGACCAAATAAAATGTTTGTAGCGACCAAAGAAAATATTATTTCTTCTTTTAAGCGCTAGGGGCGCTGTATAATTTGCTGTACAAAATTGTGAAGTATATTACGAGATCGCTAACGCCGTTGTAATAATTTTTTTCCATCCTCTGAGCAGAAGCTAGAAGCATAGACTAAATTTTCCCGCGTATTCTTAAAATGAGCGCTAAAATATTATTTTTAAAATGACCATAGATAATGTATGTAACATATTCAACAAAAGTAATATTTTTTTTAATGAAATCGGATCAGAATTATTATGGGGAACATACTGAAGGGTCGTTAGGTGTAATGGTGAGGATTTATTAATACGCAATAATACTCAATAACTTAGAATTATTATTCTAAGCTCAATAATTTATTTAGTGGCGCTCCATTAGTTGGTGAAGATTGGCTTACCCTCCATCTTCACATGGCCTTTTAAGTTTATGTCAATGAAAATTTGAAAGAGGCATGCCTCATTTTATAACTATTTTTAGATAGTTAGATTATATACTTTTTTTACTCAAACATAAGATCAAATACAGTACATAAACAACTTAAAATAATGTGGGCAAAGGCGTTATTTTAGGATCTGAAACTAGGAAAGTCTGACCTAAGCATTGACTTACAAATAAATGGACGACGTGTCTAATACAAAAACCACGAAAAAATGTCCCAAGTCAACCTATTTAAACGTAGTGACATTTAAACGAATATGAAAAAGCTAAAACGTTGAATTTAAATTGTAATGTCATCGCAGTACTGTCTAATTTTGCTTGCTTCGCTGTCAGTCGAACAAACGAAGACTGAAGCGTGAATGACGGTCTGTATACGATTTTAACGCCTTATAAGTTCGGACACTTTTTAGCGCGGACCCGACGTCCATATAATTGTAAGTCAATGAACCTAAGACTTATTTAAGGGGTAGATGGCCGCTCCCGAAGAAGAATGTTTGACCTAATTCCTATGACTATTCATTGTAGCTTTTAGGGTTTAAGGCTTACTGTTTTCTAAAGTTACCCGTTCCATTATCATTGCCTATCAACAATAGATAGTTGCTATCTGTTGTGCCCTGAGCATGTTTAAATAAGTCATTCTCTTTTAACAGTTTGCCAAAGTTTTCTATTGACTCGCTACTCTGTAATAAACTCATTTCCGTGGATATTGTTTGCAATAACAGATGCGTTGAAAATTCAAATATAAACTCAATGCATACCATGAAAATCCACCGTGACGCCATAAAATAATATTACCGGTCGTACGTAACTCATTTGAATAAAGCGGTTTTAAATGACAGGTTCACAAGTAGTTTTTCTGTTAAATTACAGCCGTTATTTTCCTGTTTCCTTAGAATATCAATTTTCAAATCATATTAGCTGTAATACTTAGATTTTAACCATCAAAAAAGGGAGGAGGTTCTCAATTCGACAGTCTTTTGTCGTGTCTATGTTTACTCCGACATTTGGGAACCGACTTCGATTATTCTATTTTGGTTGAAAGGGATACAAAGGTGGTAGGGAATGAATCTGCTTCATTTAGTTAACCGATGTTAATAAAACTTGGCACATTGATGTAATTTCAATGAAAATATAATGTTATGGTGATCTACAGCTGATTTCATGATGGAAATGACATAACCGCTCACGCGATACATGCAGCCGTAGACGCATACCACACCTAGAGTAACCTAAAACTTGTATTTAAACTGAATGCTTTTCTTATTTGCGAAACCAAATAGCCGCCATTTTGCGGTAGGAGGAGCGCATCGCGTGAGCGGTTAAAGAGGAACTGTTGAACTTGTACATCAGCAACCTTGTGTTTGAGCTCGTATGATTCGTTTTAATGAAGACTTTTATATGCGCTTAGATTATCGTTGAAGAGACTGTAGTAACGAACACAGCGAAAGCGGATAAGGTTTCATGGTCGGTTTTATTTTTTATTAAAAAGTTATAATTATTATTTGTTAACAATATGATAATGTCTAGTCTCTTTTCTTTTCAGATTCTGTCGACAGCTTCTTTCAGTGTCTTATTTTTTGTCGTTCAATCATCACTGGATCGTCAGGTTTCCCTTTCCGTACCTGGCCCTGTACTCTCATCCTCTATCTGACGTCCATCCGAAACAATTACTGTAAAACATTGACTTACAAATAAATGGACGACGGGTTTAATACAAAAACCACGAAAAAAATGTCCCAAGTCAACCTATTTAAACGTAGTGACACATGTAAAGGAATATGAAAAAGCTAAAACGTTGAATTGAAATTGTAATGTCATCGCAGTACTGTCTAATTTTGCTTGCTTCGCTGTCCGTCGAACAAACGAATAACAAGACTAAAGCGTGAATGACGCTCTGTATACGATTGTAACGCCCTATAAGTTCGGACACTTTTTAGTGCGGACCCGACGTCCATATAATTGTAAGTCAATGCTGTAAAATAAGTAATACTCGACTAAACTGAAATATATATGATGCGAATGAAGAATTTGATCAAGTATTACTTATTTGACTGTAATTATGATTGTTTCGGATGTATGTCGGACCAAGAACGAGAGAAGACCCCTTGACATTTTTATTGTCGATTTTTATAATTATTCTAATGGTGATTATATCGGGTTCATCATCTATCATTTTCTTAGGAACTTCACTATATGCGGTGGCTGGTTGCGACTTCAGAAGGGTTGCTCTCGTAATCAGTGTATCAATTTCCATACAGAGTTATCGTCTATTGTTGGTGATTGGGTATAACCCAAACGTTAAGGTAAGGTGAGTCTATCTATCCTTGTTCGGAGTGCAATTTCCGCTGAGAAGAATTTTTTTTTATAACATCAAGTGACGGGATGAACAAGTCATGCGCCTGATGGTAAGCTACACGCCTGCCCATGACAATTACAGTGCCACTCAGAGCTTTAAATTACAAAGATCTGAGGGGCACTGCCCCTGCGCCCGAGACCCTGAGACGTAAGTTGACAAGTCCCATGTGCCTGTAATTTCACCAGCACCATTACCATTCATAACCGGAACACAGTAATGCTGACATTACTGCTTGGCGGCAGAAATATATAAGATGGCAGTACTTCCCTGGACGAACTCTTTTACAAGGAGCTCTACTGCGACTAAAATGTCTTGCCTCTTTTCTTTTCAGATTCTATCGAGAGCTCTTTCAGTGTCTTATTTTTGTCGTTCAATCATTATTGGATACAATCGTCAG